TATATATATATATATATATATAGATATGTGTGTGTGTGTATTAGTCAAAGTTTCTCCTCCTTGGCTTTACCCATAATTAACTGCTGCAACAAGCTGTTTTTTTTATACTGAACCAACCAAACAACCGATAAAAGTTTTAAAACATTTGAGCTTAGCTGAAGCTTCTGCTCTTTGATTTATTTAGGACTGAATAACGTGTTGCTTTGCGAAAACTGTAAGGTAATTTATTTGCGATGCCATGGCTTCTCACCTGGCAAACAGTATGACCGTGTCCTCAGATGAAGTAAAACATCATGCTTTCTCAGCTCATAACTATTACTCTAGTAGTTTAATTACACTCTAAAACATGTTTTGACTGTTCAAAAAGCTTAAAGGTGCTATTTTCAGCTGCTTTCAGCTCACCGCTGACATGTTTTACATAACTACTCACTCGATGGCATGTCGCTGAGAGAAAACAATGACTCTGAGGATAAATATGGCTCACTTTTAATCTGTCGGGTCACACATAAATGGCAAATATCTCTTTCACAAGCACGTCTGAATAAAGCAGGATAATATGTCTGAATGATTGAAGGCCATCACATGAATAAAACTGTGAACAAATTACATGTCGGAGAAAAAGTATCATGGCCAGGAAACGTAAGAGTTCAGGTACTACCATAGACCAGCACAGTTAGGTCCTCTTTCTGCTCTGAGAAATGTTCTGCTGCTCTTACCCTGGCTGTATGCAGGTTCCATGTGGTGTGGGTAAGGTCCTGGCTGCATCATGGGGTACTGTGCGGGCATGCCAGGGTACTGGGGAGCCAAAGGATAACCTGCAGGTCCGAGAGGTTTCCCATAAGCATCATACATGGGCTCCACTGGGTAGCTGACCATGGGAATCTGTTGGGCTGTGGGTACAAAAAAGTAAAAAAAAAAAAAAAAAAGCAGCTATGACAGGAAATTAAATGTTTGGGTTTCATTTTACAAGAGTGGACATATAGACAAATTATTTTACCATCATAAGGTGTCCTGCCTCTCTGCTGCCTTCTCTGGTAGAGGTAACAGCAGGAACACATGAAGCAGCAAACCATGGTCGCAATGATGGCCACAAACAGCAGAATGGAAGAGGCAATGCCAGCTATAGTGGTAGGGCTGAGAAGAGAGGACAGCAGAGAGCTTAGAGTAAAACAAATCCACTTCTGACTTTGATCACCTAACATCATGTTCCTTTTTTTTTCCTAGAATTACTTCTGACTTTTAAAAAAGATTAAAGTTAAGGCAGCCAAGAAGCTTTGAATTCGAACACAAACAACTGACCCCGATATCACATCCTAATAAGAGATGTGCACCCTGAAGATCTGTCAAGATTCCCACACTTCATCTCAGTGAAGCAACAAAGCCCTCCATTTTATCTTGGTCTCAGACGCCCACTGATCTGATCTCCCACCGGGCTTAAAAGCGGCAGGTTGTCTGCGAGCTGTGGATACGGGTGGAAGGGTTCCAGGTCTGTGCAGAAACCATGCCAGGCTGCAGCTTTTCAGGTGCAAACACGCTCCATCCGGCATTATTACAATTCTTCACTGGAAACCATTAACAGTGATAGGGTACAAAACAAAGATAGCTGATGTGACAGAACCACTAAGGAAAACATGTTACAGATGTTTAATCAAGGGTAACCACTGTACTATAGGGGATGTTTGATATATGAGCATTCAGACACAATTTTATCTTAAATCATGTGATGTTTTTCTATAAAGTACGTTTTAATATAACAATAACTTATTCTTGTTTTTATTAATATTCTAAAACTACTAACTCTTTCTTTACCTTGTATCACTTGTTTTCACTTTAATAGCTAATGTGTACTTTATGCTACGGAGATGTTGTTTCATTTGCCAAAAAGACATTTTTTGTTGAAAACAAAATTCCAGTCAATGCACAGTCAACCATACAACAACAGTAGCTCAGAGTCCAACTAATTAATAAATAAGTAATCAAACTGCAACCCTGCCGCTGCCTCTGTCCTCACCTGAACTGGAAGAGCATGCAGCGTTTCTGCTCCCTCTCCGTGATCATCTTGAAGGCGTCCAGACAGCAGTAGCGCCGGTGGCAGTTCCCGCAGCAGAATGTGATGAGAGGGCAGTCGAAGCCGTTATGCCAGGTGCCATTTTTATCCACATACCATAGACAGTCCTCGTTCCCACTGACTGCAAAACAAAGAGAAGCAAAACCTGAGGCGGGACACAAGAGGTCTGATAATCAATCTCAAGGCACAAGGCAAGGAGGAGGAAGACAAAATGAAAAAAACTGAACTCATAGTTGACACGTTTGCTTTTTATTGCCATGATGTGTGTTTGGTCTTAGTGGGGGAAGTCTTGACAATTCACTCCCAGCTGTTGTGCTTTCAGGAAAAAAAGTGTCTTTCCAACGTTTGCTGGCACTTCAGTCTTACATATTTTCTTTTTCATTTCATACAAACTGAAACTATGATGCATTATTCAACATTTCCCTGTGGCAGAGGATGTAAGCTGATTCAAGCTCAAGAACTGAAAGTTGAATAAACAGACACTTCTACTAGGCCTGTCGCAATAAACAAGAAATCAATTAATCGCATGATTAATGAAAATTATCGACCTCATTTTCATTTATCAGCTTCATCGTTTCTTCGTGTCTCTCTCTTTCTACTGAAGACACTGGATGACAAAAGGCTCAACTCTGGTGCTCTTCACTTCATTTTAAACGTCCAAAATCGCATTTTTGGATCGTTAAAAGCAGCTAAGCCGAGAAGCTAAGCTACGAGCTAAGCTAACAGGCCGACCTTGGGGAAAAAACCTCCGTCTTGTCGAAGCTCCAAAATTCACAGTTGAAACCCGCGCCTTTGTGTAATAAGTCGTTTTTTTTCTGCAAAAGGAAGTTGAGAACTTGTTTACTGATTTTTTTATTAAAAGCTTTGCGTGAAAAATGCTATGCTAAAGAACTCAAACCACAACGAGAATCTGCAATTTTGAGAACCAAAAAAAAAAAAAAAGGAGACAGCCCATGTCACGTCAAGGGGCCTCCCTCCCATTTTTCTTAAAGAGACACGCTGCTCGCTCCCTCACTGTCCATCCTTCGGTTCAAACAGTCTTAAACTGCCATCCAGTGGTCAAAAAAGAAACTACACACGAAAATTAACCAACATCTCTTCTAAAATTTGACAATACTAATTATTGTCAAATTTCAAACAATATTATTGTTTATCTCAATAATTTCTGAGACAAATTTATCGCACAGCAAACTATGCTACTGTGACAGGCCTAACTTCTACAACACTTAAATCAACTATTGGGGCCTTCAAATTCACATTTGAACAATGTTTCTTCTTGTATTTTTAAGAAGGTTTTTCCAATCATTGTTTGAGTAACATATTATAGAAAACATATTATTTAGCTGATGTTTTTCTTAGTTCATATCTTAGAGCTTATTACTGTTTTGTCTTTTACATTTTTATTGTTGGATGTAACTGGGACGCTGCGTACATAATCTCATTCCACCACATGAGATGTGAATGACAAATAACTCTCTCTGACTCTGATATGTCCATGTCATCAGGATGTGACGCAGCCTCTTCTAAAACAAGAAAAGCCTCAACCCAACAGAGCTCTTAAACTATAGACCAATATCAAAATAGCCTTTGCGGTGTTGTTCTTAATGAACTTCACTGGTTTTAAACTACTCTTTAAAACTCACCTGTGACCGCCAGAGTCTTCTTACACTCACAGTTCAATAATTTATAAGCTCCAGCTTACAGTTTTTGCACAGCGACCATTTGAGGCTCGCTTATGAACTTGGCAGTCAGGGAGTGAGACAAAGTGTGTGGTTACCATGGTGACACTAATTGAAACAGCGGTTGCAGCTTAAACTGGTCTTTTCATTTTGATCCTTTTTACACTTAATAGTGTATTCATCATAAGTTATGCATTTTTGCATGCGCTCATTTTACCTTTATTTATACTGGTTAGTCTCTTTGAGTCACGAGGACTCATTATTTTCAAGAGACCTGCTTTTATTTTTTGCATACATGCAAAATCAAGAAATAAACCGAACATTTGATTTACTTGATGCATTTTTTTTAGCATATTTTAAAACAGAGTTAGCCCAAAACAGCACCAGGCAGAAGGAGAACACCAAACAAAAACAAAGTCATAGTAGGCTAGCTGTTAGCCGTTACAAACCGTGGTTGAAGGGTGTTTTTTATTTTTATTTTATTTTTAATGAACCAGGCCTAGCATGAACCCCGAGTTCAGAGGGTCAGAAGTACACCGCCACAAGGCAGCAGAAACTATCGGCGACAGATAAGACGGACGCGGCCGAGTTATTAGCATAGATAACGGTCCGGACTGTAGCCCAGCTCCACGGTTAGCCAGCGGTGCGGCCTGGCAGCGAAGCCGTCATCTCTTACCCAGAGGAGCGCAGAAGACGACGGCGAGCAGCGCCAGAGTCAACGAAACCAGGGACATGTTGCCCGTCGGGAAGACCACGACTCCCATCGTGAATTCGTTGCAAGCTTGGGCCTTCTTTAAAGAGAATGCGCAGTCATCGGTGTGAACCCGCAAGAACAGTCGGAACTAGCGGTCGTTCTCAAACATAATCCTGGATTGCAGACAGCATGATGGGAGACGGGACCAGAAAGAGTCGTTAGCAATTTAACGATATCGCGACTGTGACGCCGTTCCAGTGTTGCCAGGTGAGAAATGTAGGATTATCGTACTAGAGACATAAATTATCGTATTTTGAGGGAAATTATCGTACACCCGTCATAACCAAAATAACAAATCTACCGATGCACTATAGTAGTGATTGGTCCGCTTTCAAACCCGCTCTGCTTCTTTTTCTTTTCTTTTCCTCACTCATGGGGCGGGCGCAGCGGACTATTCAGCCAACCATGGCCGTTGTTCTGAGGCAAACCACGTCACTCATAGGTAACATTTGGCATCTGTTTGCGGACATGTCTGCCTGCTGCTATAGGCAGGAGACGATGGTGCATTCACTGACTGCATGTAACAGCGACAACTAATTCTCAACTATTTAATATAAACTATTTTACCAGTAAGAAAACATTTATGCAGGATGTTGTTTCAGATTTAAAAAAAAATCGAGCATAAGTTTTTGCGGGAGGCGCAAAAATCTCTGCTTCAACTACTAATATTGCATCTACATTTTACTGATATAAGTGTCCGAGCAGACATAATGAATCTTCAAGGGGTTTTCTGCAGACCAAAAGTGGGTGTTTCTAGAGAATGGGCGTTACTAGAGGACAAACACTGATTGGCTAGCTGTATTTGCCGTCTCTTTAGGCAAGTTACGTCAGCTCTCTTTTTAAACTGAAGGTTTCTAAGAAGCAGCGTTATATCTGCTGTCAAACACAAGATGATTCTCATTTGTTCTTTGGTTGTAGGCTGCACCTGCCTTGAATGTGGTCTGGCCGGGTACAATGAAATATGAAGCATCTGAAGTGAAACCTTCTCCCATTTGTCAAAAAGCCTGGTCTCAATTAAATATCATGAGTCCTGTAAGGAGATAATGGCTCAAAACAAAATGTGCTCTTTAGAAGTGCTCTTCTATGATCTGATCTATGAAAGGAGCTGAAACATGGAGTAGGACTGACCTTTAAAATCCGAGACAGCTGAGGAAGTTAACCAGTAAACAGAAATACCTGCTCCAGTTGTAGAAATCTTACAGAATCTGACAATCACTCATCTGCAGTGACCGCTTTAAAAGGTTGAACAAGAAAAGGTGAAGTTAAAGGTAACATCCTTTCATTATTATTTTTGGTTACCTTATTTTTTTTTTTCTTTATGAATTGATTGCAACTATTTTTACATTATTCAACAACCAAAACAGATGGGTTTTTTTTTTTATGTAATGGCTTGGTATTAAAAAACAAACATGATATCTATGGTACCCAGTACCCATTTATGTTGATCTTATTTTGAAATGTAACCGGAAGTTCTGTGTTGAGAGGCGGTGAGAGTTCTTATCATCCAATCAGATGTGACCCTCCAGGAACGCCTTCCATATTTGTCTGCAGTAAAAAGTTCTGGATTTAAGTTAAAAGCAAGTTGGCCATCTGGCCTATAACATTTAATTGTTATGCAAGATGATTGATGGTTTTGGACGGATGGTCCCTTTTTTGCATGTATTAAAGCCGGTTTCTTTGAAATCAACGGGAGGCTGGCTTGAAACGCATCAATGAGGGCTATGTTGTGGAAGTATTGGAATCAAAAAGATTCACAAACTCAGAATATTTATAAGACAGATCTGGGTTGGCAGGATGAAATACTAAATGTTTCTCCCATAAACTTGTCCGGATTAAACATTTCAACATTTTTTGTATTTAAAATCATATACTGTAGTTTGAATTAACTAAAATGAACTAGACAAAAAGAAACAAATAACTCGCACATCACTGAGCCACAGAAGTGACTGTAACGTGTTTGCTTTAGAGACTGTTTTGAATTTTAAAGGCTGAGATTTGGGATAAAAATATTTTCATAATAAAATGACAAAATCTGTAGTTCTAGCCCAAAGTTAATCTCTCATTAGCTTCACAACGCAAGCGTTCATTGGCTAATTGTAACGATTCAAAACAATTAGACGTCAGTTATTTTTTAAAAGAATTACACTAATACTATAACAGATCTGAAATTTTTACCAATTAATTTTTTTTTTTTTAAATGACAGTCTGCTTGAAGGAAAACAAACAGTACCTTCCTCCATTTAAATTAACATTTTTTAAATTACTTTTATTAGTTTCAGAAAAAAAAAAGTTTCAGATATTAATAAAGGCTGCAGAGAAAAATATGGAAATGTCCTTCTGGGACCTTTATTTAGAAACTGTCATTCTAAATTACGATAGGTACAAGGAAATGACAAGCTTTGAATCACCATGGCAACAGTGTGAATTCCCAATGATACAATCCCCCGAGATACGACGGCTGCTCTATGAGCTTTTCCTTTTTTTTTTACCCTGTCAGAAACAGTCATAGTTTTCTCAATTATAAGGCCTCTCAAAAAAACAAACAAAAAAAAACTTTTGTATTTTTTTCCTTCAATGAAAAGTTTTTTGGAAGCTTTTTCCATGTTGCATTTCAGTCTGTTTATACAAAAAACATGAAAACGACTAGTTACATGTCAAAGAAGTCCACGCATGTGTCATCATGATCCATGATCTTCTTAGTGAAGAGCTTCCAATCTCTCATCCAAGTTGAAGTTATTCCAAAACGGAGACCTTTGACCTCGTTTTATAGCTACGAGTGGTCCTGTCCTCTTCAAATAACTTCACATCTGCAATGTTCATCATCCATTATCAAGAAACAGGGAGGTCAAGGGTAAGTGCATGAGTCTCTTCCCACCTCATTCCTTTTCTTTGTTTTTAATTCATCATGAGATTGAAGTCACAGGAACATTTCAGGGTGTTGTTGATGGAAGATGACGTATTGAAATGACCAACAGCACAGCTACAAGCCTATAGACTGCAGGGTTTGTCTCTCAGCGTTGTTGAGGTGGCCTGAGAACATGCTGTAACATGGCTGCTGGGCAAATTGTGTTAAAAAATCCGTCAGGTAAGCCTGAGGAGACAAGTGAGAGTAAATACAGTAATATCAGTGGATTTAATTGTAAAAACATCATTGTGCATGCCAAAGATCCTTTTCAGTCAGTATGAGTTTGAATTTTAAAATACAACTATAATACAACTGTTTTACTGTTATAATACTTGTAAGGTTCAGGTAAAAAAAAAAAAAAAACTTCAAAAAGCTTATAATATAAGTATTTTAATCCTGTAAAGTATAAATATAAAGTCAGAAAAACTGGAAAGTTTATGCAACTTGTTTGTCTCTGGTTTTACACGTGAATAAGTTTGCATCTAATCTCACAGTAAAAAAAATGATACAAACTGTTCTTGTTTAATTTATCAGTAAAATCAGTTCAACTTTGCAACTTTTAAATTTCTACTTTTGAGATTTTGACATCAAGACATTTTAACCCAAAAACATCTTGTTCCATTTGCCTTTTATTCTCTAAGAAAATTCAAACTGTACACACAATAACATCCCTGTGCTCCTATTGATTGTTAAATCTAAAACCAAATAAAATCAAACGTTCACAACATATACCTGTAGATCAATCTGATATATGGGGTCTTTCAAGGCATCTGGATCATCCTCATCATCATCATCTTCATAATAATCATCATCTATTAAAAAAAAGCTTAATTGTGTCAACTGTAAAAATGTGTAAGAAACACTAAGAAAGAAGTAAACTGTTGTATATTGTACAACAATGAGTTAGGAGATTCTTTTACCATATTTGTTAGAGGTAAGGAGTTCATCGAGCAGATGCCCTGCCAGCCCTTCATCCTCATCCTCATCCTCCCCCTCTTCCTCCTCATGGTCATCCCACATCCCGCTGGAATCTGAGAGAAACAGAAACACTTGGTTGCAAAATGTCTGCCATCTTCATCTTTGTTTTTTTTTTTTTAAAGAAAATACTATGAGCCATTTGAGGACAAACAGCCAACTTCAGCCAATTTAAAGCAGTTGGACCAGCCATTTATCAATTGATATTTACTCTTTTGGACGGATTCCTGAAAAATATGGCTGAAAATCATAAGAATTCTTCTCAACGAGTTTCAAACTGATTTTGGATCAAAACAATGACTCAAGCCTGCGACTAACTTAGAGTAGCGCACTTAATGAGAGAGAGGGAGAAAAGAAGTTGACATCACATTTAAAAGCAAGTACCGTATTTTTCAGCCTACGAGTCGCAGTTTTTTGCATAATTTACATGCCCTGCGACTTATAGGCCGAAGCGACACATTTATGGATTTTTCCCCATATTTATAAACCAATTTTTGGCTGAGATATGACCATTTTCATTCATTTTGACAGAAAAAAAGATTGAGCAGTACCACTTTCAGCCACTTGATGGTAGCAGAATAGTAGTAGCGGTATGGCATGCCGTTGTATCATGTAATAGGTAAACGTGGCTATAATGACAAATTCAAAAAATTTCAAGACAAAAACAACTAGACATTATTTATTATAATTTACTTCATACGTTATTGTTTGTTTTCTTGAACTTTTTTAAATTTACCATGTCCTGGATGACTGAGAATCTTCACCAGCTATTAATGACACAATCGCCTTGCCATATTTGTTGTGTAAAGCGCTTTGAGTATCTTGAAGTAAGATAGAAAGGCGCTATATAAGTACAGTCCATTTACCATTTACCATATATCCACCACCACCGTTCTGCTCGCTGCTTGGAGCAAGTCAAACCAGCTGCACCGCCCTGGTGAAATGCAGCTAATTTGACCATTAAAGTGCATTTATTAAGCAAAGGTTAGACTGAGACACAAATTTGTCATAATTTTGAGCAAACAAATTGTTTTTAGGTGTTTATCTTGTTAAATTTGCACAGTGGCTCGTCGCGTGCACGCATTTACTTCCACATATCGGATTTTGAAATACAGCTGATTTGACCGTCAAAGTGCATTTATTACGCAAAAATTAGACTGAGACACACATTTACTATAATTTTGAGTAAACAAAAATTGTTTTGAAGTGTTAATCTTGTTAAATTCTTGTTAAAGTTCTCCCGTGTATGCTCCCGCGGCTGCCATTTGGCAATCATCGATTTTTGGCACAACACCGGCCCACATTTCTGGGTTGTCAGCGGTGAGGCATAACAAATGTGACGCGTCAGCTGTGACGCATAATAGATGCAACATATATGGTAAAGCAACATATTTATGGATTTTTCCACTTTATTAGACATATTTGGACTGATGCAACTTATAGGGCAGAGCGATGTGTATGGCGGAAAATACGGTATACAACGCACAACTATGAATTAGATGAGACAATTCCTTCTTGCTCTAACAAACTCAAACTTTGTGCCACTTGAGTTTTTTTATTTGAGAGAACCGACAAAGAACATGTTTTTATTTTCACAGAACTGAGAACCACACCATGAAGTCACCGAATACGTTATCTCACAATGGTTTCATTTTTTATTCATACTGCCCTACAGTTTATCTGGACCTGTTGGAAGAATCGCAGGACAGCGAGTCGGTTCCTTCCACAGATAATATCAGCGGTCATTTTATTTGCCACCTCGTGTGTTGATATCACCAGCTGTCAATGATAAACGCTGATGCTTTGTGAATGGTGTTTGAAACACCAATCACTGTGTGAATGAGACTGATAAACATTACTGTAAACAGGGTTAGAAAGATAATCAACTGAGACCTGTATTCATTAACACAACTTTCAGTGCTGTTTAGAACACAAACACCAGCTGCTGTTTGAGGCAGCATTCATCGATGCAAAATGGAAGAGATTAATAAAAAATATGTCTGTAATGGCTTGTGTGTAATTCCTGTTAATCACTCTTCCAAGGTGTAGGAACATAAGACTACTAAAACTGGATGATAGCGGAGTCACTACGCTTGGAAGTTCATGTAATGAAACGCACAACTCCACGTGAACCAACTTGTTTTTTTATCTCATCTCAATGTTTTCCTCAGAACTTTAAATGATGAAATTCAAAAAAAATCTGTATTAGAAATGACTTTTGCTCAGTTTCCACCCACCTTGGCTCCAGTCTGCTGCGTTTCCTCTGCTGGCGTTTGCTTCCACCACGGTCGACAGCTCGTTGATGATTAACTTAAAGATCTTCACGAGCAAAGGAATGTTGGTCCAGCGCTCTGGGTCTGTTGAACATAAAAACAAAGAGTAATAATAATGGCTGTAGTATTTACAAATGTAGCCGTCATAATTAAAAACCTGAATGATTGTTATAGAAAATAATAGGGATGTACAATATTATTGGCATGGTATTGGTATCAGCTGATATTAACGATAAAATTAAATATCAGACATCAGCCATTCCATCAAAATAACTCACTAATATAAAAGGCGCTGTTTATATATAATGTGTGTGTATATATATATATATATATATATATATAAAACCCAGTGATAAGGATGCCTGCAGCACCAGCACAACGTTATGACATCATGCACGCTGTTGAGTTTAGATTTGTGAAAATTTACAAATTTGCACTGTTCGAGTGTTGTCATTGTGTTAGAGTAAATGTCATGAATGAATTTGACATTAAACATAATCTAAGTTGAAGTGTTACATCGTTTTCAGCTCCCTTTTTGGTGTCTGCATTTGGCAGCAGGCCAAATTTGACAAAGACCATGCAGAATAATGTAGTAGTTTAAATCCACAGCAGAGAAAGATATGTAGTCTCTGTAAGTAGGTCTAGGAAACAAAAAATCAGTTTTGGTATTGGTTTTTGGCCAAATAAGTTTTAACATATCAAATATTGGCCCAAAATCCAATATTGTGCATCCCTAGAAATAACAAACAAACTAGCACAATGTAATATAATAAAGTCTTACTCTTGGCAGATTTTGCGCGTGTACGGATGCCTTCATCAGGGTTGTAAATTTCTTCTCCCTTCACCATGATGTCTTGAAGACGTTTGTCGTCAGTGTTGATGCCATGTTGCAGTAGCTTACACAGCGCAACAGTACTGCAAGGACAAAATAAATATAAAGATGAGCTACAGTTTGTGTGTCAGGATCAGACAACTAAAAGCACAAATCACAAATTATCCTGCACTGTATTTGAACACACAAATTTATGCTTTCACCTCAAGTGCTCAGCAAGTCTTGTCTTTTAGTAGAACTTTCTAAGGTGCGTCTTTGCTCACAGACATGTAGTGAGACCAGCAGTGTCTCTTTTTTATTTTAAATACTTCAATTACAAATACTTCTGTGCATGGATATAAACAGGATGAAGGGAAACTATGGAATACATTTCAACCTTGTAGCTTTCACAATAAGTATCCTTCAAATTCCTTAACGTGTGAAACATCCGTGCATGTCACTTAAAAAAAAAAAAAAAAGACTAATTCAATCTGCATCTTTAGTGTGGATGGAAAAGATGAGTTTACTTGTCTTCAAGAATAAGATTTTTTTCTCACTTCAAAATGAATAAACATATTAGCAAAAATAAACCATTCCATTATAAGAACTAAAAGTTAAAGCAGACATTTTCTAATTCTGCTTAATGATTTAGTTCAGGCACCAGCGACTCCTGTGCCCAGAAAAGGAAGAAGCATGTAAAGATAATGAATGGATGGATTGATTTTAGAAACATTAGCTGTACAGTGGGGAGAACAAGTATTTGATACACTGTTGATTTTTCAGGTTTTCCCACTTGCAAAGCTTGTAGATGACTGTAATTTTTATCATAGGTACTCTTCAACTGTGAGTGATGGAATCGAAAACAAAAATCCAGAAAAATACAATGTATGGTTTTTAAATAATTAATTTCCATTTTATTGTGTGAAATAAGTATTTGATACACCAGAAAAATGAAACTTAATATTTGGTACAGAAACCTTTGTTTGCAATTACAGATATCAGACGTTTCCTGTAGTTCTTGACCAGATTTGCACACACTGCAGCAGGGATTTTGGCCCACTCCTCCATACAGATCTCCTCCAGAGCCTTCAGGTTTCGGGGCTGTTGCTGGGCCACACGGACTTTAAGCTCCCTCCAAAGATTTTCTATGGGATTCAGGTCTGGAGACTGGCTAGGCCACTCCAGGACCTTAAGATGTTTCCTACGGAGCCACTCTTTAGTTGCCCTGGCTGTGTGTTTTGGGTCGTTATCATGCTGGAAGACCCAGCCACGACCCATCTTCAGTGCTCTTACTGAGGGAAGGAGGTTGTTGGCCAAAATCTCACGATACATGGCCCCATCCATCCTTCCCACAATATGGTGCAGTCGTCCTGTCCCCTTTGCAGAAAAGCATCCCCAAAGAGCGATGTTTCCACCGCCATGCTTCACGGTTGGGATGGTGTTCTTGGGGTTGTACTCATCATTCTTCTTCCTCCAAACATGACGAGTGGAGTTTAAACCAAAAAGTTCTATTTTTTGTCTCATCAGACCACATGACCTTCTCCCATTCCTCCTCTGGATCATTCAGATGGTCATTTGCAAACTTCAGACGGGCTTTGACATGCGTTGGCTTGAGGAAGGGCACCTTGCGTGTGCTGCAGGATTTTAATCCTTGACGGTGTAGAGTGTTACTGATTGTTTTCTTTGAGACTGTGGTCCCAGCTCTATTCAGGTCATTGACCAGGTCCTGCCGTGTAGTTCTGGGCTCATTCCTCACCTTCCTCAAAATCAATGATGCTCCACGAGGTGAGATCTTGCATGGCGCCCCAGAACGAGGGAGATTTTCCGTTATTTTGTATTTCTTCCATTTTCTAATAATTGCACCAACTGTTGTTGCCTTCTCACCAAGCTGCTTGCCTATTGTCCTGTAGCCCATCCCAGCCTTGTGCAGGTCTACAATTTTATCCCTGATGTCCTTACACAGCTCTCTGGTCTTGGGCATTGTGGAGATGCTGGAGTCTGATTGATTGAGTGTGTGGACAGGTGTCTTTTATACAGGTCACGAGTCCAAACAGGTGCAGTTAATACAGGTAATGGGTGGAGAACAGGAGGGCTTCTTAAAGAAGAACTAACATGTCTGTGAGAGCCAAAATTCTTACTGGTTGATAGATGATCAAATACTTATTTCACACAATAAAATGGAAATTAATTATTTAAAAATCATACATTGTATTTTTCTGGATTTTTGTTTTAGATTCCATCACTCACAGTTGAGTACCTATGATAAAAATTACAGTCATCTACAAGCTTTGCAAGTGGGAAAACCTGAAAAATCAACAGTGTATCAAATACTTGTTCTCCCCACTGTACGTACAAACTGTTAAAAAGCATTAAACACAAAGTTAAAACGGTCTAAACTGCTGTGGTATAGGGTTTTCTCTGGATACCACAGTGAGAAGCTAGCATTAGTTATTTTAATATGCTGCAGGCGTTTAGACAAACTTATGGCTGGAGGTTAAACTCATGATTAATGTTAAGTTGTTACATATAAGAAAAGTTTTTTCAACTCAAAAGTTGCCTGACCTGACTTTACCCTCGTACTGTCCGTAGAAAAGATGCTGCCTGCTCATCCACTCGGTCGTGACAAACTCCAGGGCAGGCTTCCCTGTTGGACCTGGCAAACTGCACAGAAACTCCAGCAGAGGCTCCAGCTGAGAGTGAACCAGGTGGGCAAAAACCATGATCAGAGACTACGGAGGATAAGACAGACAGAAGAGACTTGTTAGTTTCTGAAAGTATTGAATTATTTGAGATTTTATTCAGCATATTATATTCTTTCCTCTTTACCTGCATGACACTCAGAGTCTCAGCTTGTTGCATTTTGCTCAGAATTGCTCGAAGGATCTGGTCTAACTGTTCCCCGAGCTCCGTTCCTGCTCGAGAGATCAGCGTGGACACCAGTCTGCCCACGAAGGCAGCTGTGAATTCTGAAGTCCGGGGGTCCAGCAGCTGGTTCACTACCTGCATGACGTACCACAATCCACTGTTCCCCTGCTCATCCCTCCACTGCGCAATCTGCTCAAGGGCCACCGAGACGTACGCCCGCAGACACTCGCCTCCATTCTTAGCATAGAGAAAATATAAAAAGTGCTTCAGACCAAGGAGAAATACATGTAACGTGATATTTTTATTTAGCACTTATTCAGTTCATTTTAAATTCACAAGAACGGTTCCTAAAAAAAGTATCATGCTCATGTCTAAATAAGGAGAACATGGATGAAAAGTTAAGCTTCTTTAACCTGCATGATTGTGTTGTCATCGGTGCGTAAAGTGCACTGTGCTACCACAGGAAACGCCTGACACACCAGCATCTCTGACAGAGGAGGTTTAGTGTTTCGGACCACTGTGGTCAGGATGTCTATGGATGTCTGAAGCAAAAGAAATAAAACTGTTAATCTCAGGGAAAAAAAAATTAGTTGGGCGTTTCTTGTCAACACATCTTACTTACGGCACAGAGTCCGGTGGGGATCTTGTCATGCGGAGCCTGCATGATGCTGACCAACGTTGGTATGAGACGCATCTGCATTGGGCCCTGGCAGCCTTCGATCTGAGCCAGCTCCTTGAAGATGTCCTGAGCCAGAGAGGCCACCACAGGATCTGCAGAGGAGAGAAGACAGACCCAGAGAGAGAGAGAAAAAAAGATGGAATAATTAGGCCTGTCACGATAACAAATTTTGCTGGGCGATTAATTGCCTCAGAAATTACTGCGATAAAACGATAATACAGTTTGAAATTTGACAATAATTAGTAATTATTGTCAAATTTAAGAAGAAATGTTGGTTAATTTGTTTTGAGTGTAGTACCTCTTTTCGACCACCACAGTATAAGACTGTCTGAACCGAAGGATGGATAGTGAGGGAGCGAGCTGTGTGTCTCTAAGAAAAATGGGAGGGAGGCCCCTTGACGTGACATGGGCTGTCTCTCTTTGGTTCTCAAAATAGTGGACGCTCGGTGTGGTTTGAGCTCTTTAGCATAGCATTTTTCACACAAAGCTTTTAATTATTTTTTTTTTTTTTTTAATCCGTAAACAAGTTCTCAGCTTCTTTTTGCAGAGAAAAACAATTTTTTTGACGAAGGCACGCGGGTTTCAACCGTGAATTTTAAAGCTTGGACAAGATGGAGGTTTTTTCCCCCTGAGGTCGGCCTGTTAGCTTAGTTTGTAGCTTAGCTTCTCAGCTTAGCTGCTTTTAACGATCCAAAAACACAATTTTGGACGGTTAAAACAGATTTTAAAGAGAAAAGAGAAAGGGAGGGGTCAGTGAAGAACAACGGAGTTTAGCTTTTTGTCATCCAGTGTCCAGTAGAAAGACAGAGACACGAAGAAACGATAAAGTCGATAAATGAAAATATGGTCAATCATTTTCATTTATCATGTGATTAACTGATTTATTGTTTATTGTGACAGGCCTACGAATAATCAAATGTGGAAACATCCACCTTTTCTGGAAAAACAGAAATAGTATTTTCTTGTGCATTTCATTCAGCTGATAGAGGAAAAAAAAGTGAAACACTTAATTCCAATACCTAAATAAACAAAAGGCATTAAACGTTTGAGCTGCATTATTACCATTGTTATATTTAAGAAAAATGGCGATAGTGAGGGGGCAGATCTTATTCTCAGCACTGGTGGTGAAGCCCGAGTCGACGGTGCAGACGATGCACAGCGTCTCCATGACGAGTGTGAGTACTTCTGAGCTAAACTGGGCAGCAAGCTGGATCAGTCCCTCTAAGATACTGGGGAGGAAGGGCTGAAGAACATGTGTGCTCTCTGACAGCTTCAACTGATCACAGTACCTGCAAAAAGACAGAGTGGAAATCCAACAACAGTATTCATCTAAGTTATTCACCTCAGTTCAACTGATTAAAGATCCTAAAATCCACAACATGTGGAGCGCGAGTTGGAAATGCTCATTTTACGTTGACTTTTCATTAAAACAAAAAAATTGTATGTCCAAGTTACGCCGCAGTACACAAAATCCAGCTCACCCCCAGATGGCTCTGACCGCAGAGATGCGGACGGACGGCGGCTGGCTCTCGTGGAGGCCGCTGACAGTGGCCTGGAGAAACTGCTGGATGAGCTCAGGAGACATGACTATTGTGAAGCGACTGGCTGCCCACAGAGCTCGGCCGAGGAGGAACGGAGATGCAGCTGGGAAAGAAAATAACACAAAAATGTCAACACTGAAGAGTACCAGTATATTAAGTTAGAAAACTAGAAAGTTCCTGGAGAAACTTTGATGGGGACTGGCAAGTTGCAGCCATTTTTTAGTTTTATTTGCCAGTACTATGTGTTGGGGTTCGCTCTCAGCTACCACTACACCAGATTTCAGCTCAACGTGGTAAAAAATAAATAAATAAATAAATAAATCTATGAATTAGTAATTTTTTTTCTTTAAAGCTAGTGGCCATCTTGGATTTTTGATTTGGATTCAGTATGTGATGGGGAACGTTCTCAGCTATAACCACATCAAATTTCAGCTCTGTATGTGTAGCAATAGCTGAGTTAAATCCATTTAAATTTAGCTTTGTGGGCATCTTGAATTTTTTTTTTATTATTCAGTATTTATGGGGCATTGCTCTCAGCAAATTTCAGCTCAGTATCTCAAAGAATGACTGATTTATAGCTAATTTGAGATTTCTAAATGGTAGCTGTGGCAGCCATCTTGAACCAAAATGGCTCCAAAAGTTAATCAGTGTTTCATTAAGAGACCTGTTCCCTCTGGGTCACGTGACCTCACTGTGGCCGTTAGACGTTGTTGAGTTCTGTCAGTGTTTTTTAGTGGGAAAAATGTCTTGTTTGTAAATTACATCGCCATGGTAACTCGAAACGTCAATAAAAGTAATAGCACACATCACGGTGCCGAGTCGGTCATTTTGATATATAATTTATGGGGGGGGGGGAAGAGACTTGTGGTTCGGGCCACATTAAAGTTGACAGAAAAGCAAGACAGGTGTATAATAATAGGTGGCTGTCGTTTTAGGCAGTCCCAAAAAGTATTCTTCTGATTAAATGGAAAATATGGTAAACAAGCTACAAAGTGATACAAGCCAGTGTAGGTGTTGGTTCAAAACCCAGATAAACAGCAAAGATATTCAGTGTAAACTCTTTGCCAACACAAATATGCAAATCATTAATAGAGTGAAATGGAGGCAGATGTCCAACTCATTAAAGGAGCAGCAGAGAGAAAAATTATTTACTATAAAGGTGATGTGAAAATAGGACAGCAGGGTTGCGCAACTGGTAGAGCTGCTGTCTCTCAGCGAGCAGGTTCTTGGTTCAAACCCCGGTCCTGGGGCCTTCTGGGTGGAGTTTGCATGTTCTCTCCGTGCATGCGTGGGTTTTCTCCGGTTTCCTCCCACAGACCAAAACATGCATGTTAGGCTGATTGGTGCATCTAAATTGTCCCTAGGTGTGAGTGAGAGAGTGAATGTTTGTCTCGTTTGTCTCTATGTGGCCCTGTGATGGACTTGCGACCCATCCAGGGTGTACCCCGCCCCTCGCACAGTGATTGCAGGACATGGGCACAGGCGACCCCCGTGACCCAAAATGGAATAAGCGGGTAAAGATAATGGATGGATGGATGACGTGAAAATGAATTAAAAGACGCTGTATTTTGACTCTTAGATGACAACTACTCCATTATAGGACTTTCAATATTACGCTTTCAGATTTTTAAAGTATTTGTAATTTTTTTTTTTATGTTAGAAATGTGATAAAAAGGATAAATTCAATAGGCTGAATATTACAACTATGTAAACTTTTATTTTCAATTCATATTATTAATCTTTTGCATAACTTTGCAACCAGAAGAAATGTTAAAGGCATCTTATGGAGTTTCACACACTCCACCCGCAGTGACTGATTTGAACCTCACCTGCCAGATTGAGATCAGCGAGAATGACACTGGCCAGAAAACCATGCATGTCAAACTGGATACGACCGTTCTTTACGTTTTCTGTGATGATGGTTTTTACTGAACCCAGAGCCAGCATACAAGCCTCGTGAATCTTCCACCTGGTTTAATAAAAAAATAAAAATAAAAAAAAAGATAAAAAATTTTTTTGCTTCCTCTTCTCCAAGTGTGCCATGTCACTTTGGGACAGACAGAAAATGCTCAAAGCTAGAACTCTGTCGTTCAGCATCATTATCGGACGTTTGCTTACCAGTGCTCATTGCCACTGTTTTTAGCCTGCTCTGCCTCCTGGAGGTGTCTGGTTGCTGCTGCTGCCAGCGCTGCTGCGCTCTCATTCTGAAACTCTGCAGCCACAGCCTGCAACAAGAACCAACAAGCACTGTCACAAACAGAGAAGCAGGCGGAAAGGTTTGCAGACGACCAAGTTTTACTTTCAAACCACAATAAAGTTAAAACATTTAACCTCACGACACAGTACAATGATTAACAGCTAACTGAAGAGCCTTTAAAGCAGTGGTTCTCAAACTAGGGTCCCCGGGAGTCCACGAGCCAGTGCTTAGGGTTTGCAAAAATAAATAAATAATATATATATATATTTTTTTTTTTAAACAAAAGCACATAGATGTTAAACAACCCATTAAAATACACCAAAATGCAGGAAACTGCATCTAATAAAAAAATCTAAAAAGGACAGTGATATTTATTTCTCTAATATAATGACAACACTCCAACAGTGCAAATTTGTAAATTTTCACAAATCTAAACTCAACCTGTTCACAAGCGACAAGTGAAAAGAGCCCAAGTAGTAGTGCATTAATAGATATACTTGATAGTTTCCTAAATTAAAAATTAACTTAACACAGAAGCCTTTTATATCGGAGAGTTATTTTGATGGAATGACCGATGTCCGATATTTAACTTTATCGCTAATATCGGCCGATACGGATACCATGCCGATAATATTGTGCATCCCTAAAATAAACTGGATTGAATGTTTCTGCAGTGGCCCAGCAGGAAAATAAAAACCAAGACATAAATTTAAAGATACCAATAAACTGTACACAATGGTTGTTTAATTTACATGTAGTTTTGCTTTAATCTCACCAGAAGCAGGTCCTGAGCAGAGATCCTGACAGAGTAGGAGAAAGTGTCGTCGTCCTCGTCTTCTACAAACTGCTGAGGGTTTGCCGTCCACACTTTGATCTTATCAGACAACAGAGCAAACAGTCACACAAACAGCATTCTGTTTTCACCTACGTGCATGCACGCTGGTCTCAGTCATTCCTCACCTGGTCTTCAGTGATCTGCATATAGAGGATGATGTAGTAGATGAGTTCAGGCAGAGCTTTTTTCACTGTGGTCTTAAACTTGTTGTTTTCCAGCAGCGTGTGGACAAACTCGAAGATGTTGAACACCAGATTTTCAAAACCCAAAACTTCACCTACAAAACAAAAATCAACATCAGTAAACAAGCTGCAACAGAAAGAAAAATAAATGCAAGTGGATGGAGAGAAAGAAATTCTGCTCACCATCTGAATCTACAGGGTCGTCCACTTCCTCTGTGTAGTTGACTTCTGTTCTTACATAAGTGAACAAAAGGCTAAGGAATATTATTCATCTCTTTGACTTTTTAGCTGGGCTACATTTATTATTGTCATTACATCCATACAACAATGTTGCAACATTCAGTAATGTGGATTAGTGATATGAGAGGCTGCTCTAAAAAGACTAAACAAACTGCAATGAATGCAAAGAGTCTTATCATTTAATAAACAGCTAACGCTGTGATGGATATAAAGCTGCACTTTCAGTCAGAGCGTTCCAAACAATGGGTAAGATTTGCTGCATAGAGGACACCATGGGCTTCGGGAAGTTCTTCACTAATGCGGTTACTGCCTGTGGAGAAAAAAAAAAGAGGAAATGGAAAATAAAGCCTTCAAGTGTAATAAAACTATTACATAAAGAAGTGTAATAGCTCTTAGCGTATATCTTAGATCCTTTAGTGCAGTGGTTCCTGACCCTGGTCTTTGAGGAACAACATCTTGCATGTTTTAGTTGCTTCCCTGCTTTGACACACCTTATTTGAATGAATGAGTGATTAAGTTGTTGAAGCAGGTGTGTTGGAGCAGGGAAACAACTAAAACATGCAGGACGGTGTTCCTCAGGGACTCGGGTTGGGAACCACTGCTTTAACGTACTGTTTAGCATTTGTTTAGCGTATTAGTGTACATCTTAGATCCTTATTTACAGTTTCTTTTTATATTTTTGCTATTTTTGAGTGTAACAGAGACCTTGAGTACACAGTTTCATTCCACCTCATGTACCACATGTGATGTGAATGACAATAAAGATACTTGAACTTGAAAACAAGAGAAACGTTTAAAATGAAAGGAGGAGAGGTTACAAATAATAAAAAAATGTAAACTTAAGTAGAAAACTTGTAATTATAAAATCTTCTGTTCATGATTGAGGACATTCAAGTCTCTCTCTGGGCAATCTCCTGAAGACTTCTTGGTCTGTAAAGACCCTCACCTTGAGGACTTCCATCTTGAGCCCACTATCAGATGAAGGCCCATCAGGGATTTGCAGAGCCTGAACGAATGCTTCTGTGAACTGCTGCACCACCGGGAAGATCAACGCTTTGGCTGCACCCTACAAACAGAAATGTTTAACAATGACGTAAAACCAAGATAAGAACTATAGCGCAGACTTGCACCTTTTAATAGATTTAGCAGCATAACATAAGGACATAAGAACAAAAAACTTTTCAAACGATTACAAGGCTTAACCAGAGAGGGAAAAAAAATCATTTAAAAAAATGTAAAAGCCTGCACCAAAATTAAACTGAGCAAATCAAAAAAATAATAATAATAAAAAAAAAACTCCCTTTGAGGAAAATGCAGTGATGGATGTGCTTTGGCAACCAGCAGGTTAACTGATGTAGCATGCTAAATTCTGCAGCCTCAGTAAAAGTTGAATCAAATGAGTGAATTTATAGATTTGCATCAATCAAACAAAACTACTTTAACTACTAAAATGTGAAAATAACAGCAACAACATCAGGTGTCTCTTCATGTGAACAGTTTCAACAATGTCCTATCAACAGAATACATAAATATGATAAATCATCATCATCAGCTTTATTTATAAAGAGCTTTAACACCAGCCACAGCTGAAACGAAGTGCTGAACATCAGTAATAAATAAGATAAAAGAAAGCATAAAAATAAAGTTACAAAGCTAAGCACACAATAGTGAATTAAATAAATAATAACCACCAATACATTTTTCTTTTCCTGTAAGGAACGAGCAAAATGTAAGATGACAAAGTCAGAATTCATGCAGCTCCAATAGTAAAAAAAGTAGTTCAGATATAAAATCCATGTCAATGATTTGGATGAAATTTGACCTCAACCCTACCAAGTCTTTGGGAAACAATGGAGACTAAAACTTGTTCAACAAATTAACAATCCTAGTACTTTGAGGAAAAGAAAACAACTATTTAGCTGTGTGTAAAAATAAAAGTTTTCATGCTGATGTCCTGTTGTAACATTGATCTAGAAAATATCAGAATCGGTGCTTTTATTAGGGTTTGTTTTATTAATTAGAGAAACACTTATCCCATGTTTGCATCACCTTTTCTAGCTCTTCAATAGCACAGATGAGGTTGGCACAGGTGGTGAATATCTCCACTGCTCTGGAGCGGGTACGAATACTGTAAACCTGGACAGGATAGAGAAACACAAGGGATTACATGCCATCAGTAACAGACAGCTTTTGATATTTGTGTGTAACGTGTGTACGACATAGTATAAAATCCTATTAATTTATTTTCCAAGAGGAAATTGTCAAAAACCTTCACTCCTGATTTAATGATTAAAAAAATATATAGTTCAAACAAACATAAACACTGGATTTATACTCCCAAGTGAACACAGCTTCTTTGCAAGACAAAGCCACATCCAGAGGAAAGAAAAAAAAAAAAATAGTTTTAATAAGCATGTAGTTTGTAGGGAAAATGTATTGTAGAAGAACAAAAAAGGATAAATCTGATTGGTGAACTGCTCCAACATGTCGACATGATCAGTAAGTGTTGTTGTAGTACCTCTGCCATGGTGAAGATTTTGTACATCTCAGGTAAGATGACAGGAGCAACCAGCGGCATCTGCGTGTCTGTCACTTCTCGAGTAAATTCTGGATAAAAACAGATGTTAAATAACTAAGCTATTTACAACACAATTTTCATCTTAACAGGCCCAAAACAGTATTGCATTTAAATTAGGCCTGTCGCAATAAACAATAAATCAATTAATCAAATGATAAATTAAAATGATCAACCTCATTTTCATTTATTGGCTTTATCGTTTCTTCGTGTCTCTCTCTTTCTACTGAAGACACTGGATGACAAAAAGCTCATGTCAGGGTCAAGGGGCCTCCCTCATTTTTCTTAAAGAGACACGCCGCTCACTCCCTCACTAGCCATCCTATGGTTCAAACAGTCTTATACTACCAACCAGTGGTCAAGAAAAGGTACTACACACAAAAATTAACCAGCATTTCTTCTTAAATTTGACATTACTAATTATTGTCAAATTTCAAGCAATATTTTCGTTTATCGCAATAATTTCTGAGACAATTAATCGCCCAGCAAAATTTGTTATTGTGACAAGCCTAATTAAAATGTGATTAGTATATTTGGACCAATCAACACATTAAACAATGATACTCTGTGAAACAGCCATCATGTCATGAATCCTCACTGATAAACAGAGAAATCTGAGTTAAATTAATTAGTGCGAGAAAAAAAAAGAAGAAAAAAAAAGCTGAGTTTAACATTCACTTTAGTCTCAGTCAGATCTGAAGTGTTAGCTTTTATTTTTTAAGATTCTTGCACTATAGTCTGTAATCACCACAAAAATCAAGAAAATCTAGATACAGTGCCTTGCGAAAGTATTCGGCCCCCTTGAACTTTTCAACCTTTTGCCACATTTCAGGCTTCAAACATAAAGATATAAAATTTTAATTTTTTGTGAAAAATCAACAACAAGTGGGACACAATCGTGAAGTGGAATGAAATTTATTGGATGTGTCAAACTTTTTTTAACAAATAGAAAAACGAAAAGTGGGGCGTGCAATATTAATCAGCCCCTTTACTTTCAGTGCAGCAAACTCACTCCAGAAGATCAGTGAGGATCTATGAATGATCCAATGTTGTCCCAAATGACTGATGATGATAAATAGAATCCACCTGTGTGTAATCAAGTCTCCGTATAAATGCACCTGCTCTGTGATAGTCTCAGGGTTCTGTTCAAAGCGCAGAAAGCATCATGAAGACCAAGGAACACACCAGGCAGGTCCAAGATACTGTTGTGGAGAAGTTTAAAGACGGATTTGGATACAAAAAGATTTCCAGAGCTTTAAACATCCCAAGGAGCACTGTGCAAGCAATCATATTGAAATGGAAGGAGTATCAGACCACTGCAAATCTAACAAGACCCAGCCGTCCCTCTAAACTTTCATCTCGAACAAGGAGAAGACTGATCAGAGATGCAGCCAAGAGGCCCATGATCATTCTGGATGAACTGCAGAGATCTACAGCTGAGGTGGGAGAGTCTGTCCATAAGACAACAATCAGTCGTACACTGCACAAATCTGGCCTTTATGGAAAAGTGGCAAGAAGAAAGCCATTTCTCAAAGATATCCATAAAGTGTTTTAAAGTTACCCACAAGCCACCTGGGAGACACACCAAACATGTGGAAGAAGGTGCTCTGGTTAGATGAAACCAAAATCGAACTGTTTGGCCACAATGCAAAACGATATGTTTGGCGTAAAAGCAACACAGCTCAGCACCCTGAACACACACCATCCCCACTGTCAAACATGGTGGTGGCAGCATCAGAAATCAGAATGCCTTTATTGTCATTATACGCAAATACAATGAAATTAAAAGCCACTCCTTTTTTCAGTGCAAAAACATGCTCAAGAAAAACACAATAAAAAATGTAACGGAATATAGATATAATAGCATTATGAAAGTAAAAAAATACAAGTATTTCACAATTTATATTGCACATTATGGATATTAGTGAGGTAGTTAAGGTGACTGAGAATATGAAATGTCAGTAGTATTGCACAATAGAAGTCCAGGTGTTTGGGAGGTTAGATCACTGCACCACCTGGTGGTGGATGGGTTAAATGCAGAGACTAATTTCGCCATTGTATGGAAACATACAGTGCTGACATTGTGATGACATTATTATTATTATTATTATTATTAAATCAGTGCATGTGTGAGTTCAGTGTGGTGATGGCTTTCGGGAAAAAACTGGTCTTGAATCGGTTTGTTCTTGTTCTGATGCACCTGTAGCGCTTCCCTGAAGGTAACAAGTCAAACAGTTCAAAACCCGGGTGTGAACAGTCCTTGATTATGTTTTCTGCTCTGTTGAGGCAGCGTGATGTGTAAATGTCCATCAGGGAGGGGAGAGGGCAGCCAATTATCTTTTGTGCTGTCTTGACTACTCTCTGAAGCCTCTCCCTGTCAGCCAGGGTGCAGCTGCCGTACCATACTGAGATACAGTAAGTCTGCAGGCTCTCGATGGACGAGCGGTAGAAGGTCAACAGCAATTTAGTGTTCAGGTTGTGCTTCTTAAGTACTCTTAAGTGTAGTCTCTGCTGAGCCTTCTTGATGACCGCTGGTGTTGTTCTCTTTCCAGTTAAGGTCAGCAGAGATATGGACACCAAGAAAACGGAAAGTGCGAACCCTCTCCACGCACTCGCCATTGATGTAAAGGGGGGCTAGGTTGGTGCTGTGCTTCCTGAAATCAATAATCACCTCCTTGGGTTTTTTTATATTCAGAGCCAGATTTTTCTCTGAGCACCAGGTTGCTAGCTCCAGGACCTCCTGTCTGTAAAATGTCTCATCTCCCTTAGAGATTAGTCCGACCACTGTGGTGTCATCAGCGAACTTGACGATGAGGCTGTTGTTGTGGAACGGGCTGCAGTCATGGGTGTAGAGACAGTACAGCAGGGGGCTCAGCACACAGCCCTGTGGGGAGCCAGTGCTCCGCGTACGCATCATGGTTTGGGCCTGCTTTTCGTCAGCAGGGACAGGGAAGATGGTCAGAATTGATGGGAAGATGGATGGGGCCAAATACAGGACCATTCTGGAAGAAAACCTGTTTGAGTCTGCAAGAGACCTGAGACTGGGACGGAGATTTATCTTCCAACAAGACAATGATCCAAAACATAAAGCCAAATCTACAATGGAATGGTTCACAAACATATCCAGGTGTTGGAATGGCCAAGTCAAAGTCCAGACCTGAATCCAATCGAGAATCTGTGGAAAGAGCTGAAGACTGCTGTTCACAAACGCTCTCCCTCCAACCTCACTGAGCTCGAGCTGTTTTGCAAGAAAGAATGGGCAGAATTTCAGTCTCTCCATGTGCAAAACTGATAGAGACATACCCCAAGAGACTTGCAGCTGGAACTGCAGCAAAAGGCGGCGCTACAAAGTATTAACGCAAGGGGGCCGAATAATATTGCACGCCCCACTTTTCAGTTTTTAATTTGTTAAAAAAAGTTTGACACATTCAATAAATTTCATTCCACTTCACGATTGTGTCCCACTTGTTGATTCTTCACAAAAATTAAAATTTTACATCTTTATGTTTGAAGCCTGAAATGTGGCAAAAGGTTGAAAAGTTCAAGGGGGCCGAATACTTTTGCAAGGCACTGTAAACTTTTGCCTGTGTGACGATCTGCAGCATGCTCAGATTTTACATACCTGTGAGGACCCTCATGGCTCCATGCACAGCATTAATGTCTCCACTGACCAGCATCTCCATGAGGAGGGTGAAGAGCTGAGGCCACGCCTCGGGCCAGTCCCAATGAGCAATGGCCGACACGGCATAGGCGACACTGGAGCGAACTTTGCTGATCGACTCCTGCAAACCATTAGGCAGCAGCTCCCTGATGGCAGCTTTAGCCTGGAGGAAACAATGCAAGTTTGACAAGAAGTGGCCTCAAATCATTCAGGAGTCAAATTTATACAGTTTTCAATAAATCCTTAAAAGAGAAAACATGGAATGGTCCTGAACTACATGTATGGTTTTACACCTTCATTCCACTAATTTAACTGGAAAGAGCTAAATAGATTTGTTGCCGGCAGATTCAGGTTTTAAACTTTAGTGAATAATAAATAAATAAAACACTTTAATATCTCAGCAATGAGCTTGGAGTAAATAAGCAAAAACAAGCCTTAATAATCACAACGACAAAGAACTATTAAAAGTTTGAACATAGAAATATTGGATTTAGGATTACACACAACTAAAACATATTTTCATTGAGTTATTAGAGCAGGGGTGTCCACACTTTTTCAGCATGCGAGCTACTTTTAAAATTACCAAGTCAAAGTGATCTACCTATTACACAAGAACAGCCTCTGGGTATGTTAGTGTTTTTTCAATGTTTATTGGGGGTAATAAACAAAATATGAGAGGGTTTACAAAAAAACCCTACAACAGTTTCCATGTCAGTCGGGTTGCCAAATAAGAAATTATGAACTATAGTACTGTGGCTTTAAAACAATAGTATTTTGACCTAAACTGTCATATGTGCTGAGTAAAGATATTCTAAGATGAGGTGTGTGTGTTGTTTGTTGAACATGTGCACAGGAAAGGAGGCGGTAAATAAGACATTTTAGATTTATCTGGCAACCCTGATGATGCGATCAACTGCATTCATTGTGCATGCAGCATCTGCATTTAGGCCTATCTACTCATAATGCCTAGACGTATTGGGCACCCCTGTATTAGAGGATACTGCCATACTGTCAGAAGCATCATTATCCATCAACTGTGCAAGAAGTGAAGAGGGAGGAACAATCTGTGAAGCAGCAGCATTTAGTGAGGATTGTTTTACCTGATCTGTGGTTTCAGGAGGTCTGAACTTTTCTGACTGGGAGGACCAGTGAGTCTCCACATACTGTTTCAGAATGACCGATGCTAACTGCAAAGACAGACAACCGGGTGTTGGTTAAACTGCTCCTGAATCAGTGAGCAAGGTATAAAAACATACAGATTGTGATCAACAGCATAATAAAAACAGTCCTGGACATAAATGTGGTATTGGTGCATATGGATGGACTCTCTGTGACTTATAAAGATGTTTTGTTCTGCCTCACCTGACGAATGGCAAGTGCTCCCTGAGGATCGACTGTGAGTTCAGCCAGGTGGACACCAAACTCTGCAATAAGAGCATCATTGGAGGTAAGCCATCACCTAACATTATAAATGCCATATAGACGCAACATGTAAAACAACAAACGCTCAGCTGGAGATTGACAATGCTGTGTGTTGTTGAGGATAATCAGGAACAGCATGAACACAACTTGATTAAAGATAAAAGAACAATGAAAGCCAACAGACTGATTCAACCCTGGCATTCAGGATCAGCATCAACCTCCAACTGGATTTCAACAAGAGTGACATCCGGCGCCAGAAGACAATGTTAGTGCTGACAATCCTGCCTTAGAGGGGGGCCAGCGGAAAGGGTCGGCCTTGCTGTGACGCTTGTGCATGGTGGACGAACAGTGTGGACAATTAATTTGCAGGATGAGAACTCCAGCACAATGGAAAGTCTAGTTGAGAGCACGAACTACAGCCACTGTGCACACCAAATCCATTTTACCTGCATGCTGGAATGATTTGTTTATGAACACATTTTGTTTTTAAACAGTCAGCAAGCCAGAAAATAATGTTGGTTAATTTTGTTGGAGAAGAAAAAAAAACCAACCATTTAGTGTTAAACTGATTTTTTTTTGTTTTTACTTAAAAGTTTCTAATTAGCAACCATGACCGCTTCAATACCACAATGTAGAAGTGACGCTAACCATGGTTAATCTAACTTACTGCATTCAATTAAAAAATACTTTATTAATTCCAAAGGAAAACTAATTGTTGTAGCTCATCATCCTGGTTTCATTAAGAGTCGTTCTAGATGCTGATGGCTTTGGGCAGGAAGGGTCTGCAGCAGTCCGTCCCACAGCAGATCTGAAGAAACTGGCTGCAGATGCCGATCCGTCCACCCAGACCCAGCAGAACTCTCGGTCCACTTAGGCAGAACTCCTCCCCGAGCGATGCCATTTCTCCCAGCAGCCTGCCGAGCCCATCATCGTCACGGACTTAACTGCAGATGCCGGGGGACGATCTCGGTCCTCTTGTTGTCAAGAGTTGTGTTTTCCGCTACCTCCAAGATCTCTGCGGTCAGGTACTTGAGCACTGCCTCCAGGTAGATAGGAATGCATCCACAGCACCTCCTTTTCAACTCATTTGGGGCTGTAGTTGAGGTATTTTTTGAGCTTTTGAGATGTTAATCAGCTGCTCCCAGTTGTAGAAAACCCCCTTGTTGTTATGGTTATGCATCCTAACAAATGTTCAAATGTAAAAAAGGTTTCAGTAAAAATAAATAAACCATAAAATTAAGAAATATCATAAAATACATTGCTTTAATTGCAAATAAAATAGCCTGGCTACAGTTTATTGTTTAACTTAAAAAGTACCAATTAAAAATATCATGAAAGCTCATCAGAAAATATTAAGAAATTAAAAACAAATAACCTGCAGCCATGTTCTCATATCCTTAAATTGAACATTAGTAAGCAAAATTTGTGACCAGCTGCCAACTCCGAGGTGTGTTTGTTTACAAAAACAGGCAAAATGAATGAAAAGGTTGACAAGACGTTCACAGAAGAGCAGTTTGGGACCGAGAAATCTAGGAATTCCGATATAGTGACACCTAATTACACTCAGATTTGTTGAGTGAAGAGTGTAGATAAAAAAAAAGTGATTTGTTTACATTGAGTGCATACCTGCATTTTAGATTTAACACATCCACATATTTGGAACCCACTTGCAGCAAACTTTTTCAAACTGCACCATTTGATGTAGCTCAGGATAACCTGTTTTATGTTTGATTCCATGGTTTGCAATAAGGACATTTAACACAACCACACTGGGCATCTCTACGCCTATTAAGCATCTCATTTGTATCGTGATACATTAATATTCCAAAATTAGCTGTAGTTGAACTGAGACAAATGAGAAAAGAGTCTGTTTCGGGTAGATTTATATTTACATGGTGATACACCTATAACTTTCTCGCATTTACTCAGTCCTGACCATGCAGAAAACTAGCAGCACGTCGGGCGGGATCAGAGGAAGAACCCCCACACCCAGTGGGTGACGACGACTTCGCGGGAAAATCTGTCAAGTGAGTCTCAATGGTTGCCATAACGACTGAGGAATGAATCGTAAAGTTAATAGTTTTATTAGATCACTTTGAGTTCAGTTAAAACAGTAGTTAGTTCCAGCGCTGGTTGCCAAGCAACAATATATGCTCACGAGACTAGAACAGACAGTAGGTAAAACCGCATTTACAAGTTGAGCAAACACACAAGTTGTTGTTTCTTTGTACCCAAAACAGGAAATATTAGCTTGTTGTTGTCAACATAATGGAGTTCATCCTGTTGCTGAGGCCGGGGGTTCGGTGCTCACATTATCTCCCATGTGCTGCATATACAAGCTAGGTCATGGCTAATGATTTACACTTGTCACCGCCTAGCTTCGGGTCGCTCGGTCCTGTCACCTTTAAAACAACGAAAACATCTACAAACCTGACACATGACAACACTTTTTACGAGCTTTGAAGCTGATTTAAACGTGAATAAGTTCTGAGATTGTGGCCTAACGTTAGCTACATGGACTCGGTGCAGTTCAGCTAACGTTGCGGCTGTTAGCCGAGTTGACGCTCAGTCTCAGCCCCGACACAAAGCAGCAGTCTCCGACTGGTGACACCACGGGGAAGCTAACCATCGCTAACTCGTTCTTGTAGCCTCCAGAGTCTCCACTCACCTTCAGTCACTTCCAGCACTTTAATTTGCTCCTCTGCGGCGGCGCGCACTTCTTGAACCGGGGAGAGGATCGCGGTTAGCGTCTCAATCAGAGCCTCTTTCAGTCCCTGCTGGACGGGACCAGCGGCCGAACCCGGCCGAGCGTCTCCCGCAGCGCTCATGTCTGCTGTTGGATGTTCTTGTCTTGTAGCCCCGCTAACAGCGAGTTCTCTCCAGCCGGCGAGGAGCCGACAACTACGGACAGATCGGAGCGCGCCAACGCATGGAACAGTGGAGGCGGAGCTTCGCCGGAGGAAGCACGCTCAGACTTCCGGGTCAGCCCACTTGTTTTATTTTATTACTATTAAACTATGGCTCCCTCTAGCGGATCAGTGGATGCAGACCTACGATGATTATTAAATATTTGATTAAAATCTATGAAATCAAACATAAAAAAGGTTTTTGACGATATCAAATGGCGCAGTTTGAAAGAGTAAGTTTTCCATTTGTATTAATGTGCAATTCTGAAATGTAGTTACGCACTCAATATAAACAAAAAGCACTTTTAGCATATTTAACTCAACAAATCAGAGCATAAATATGTACCAGTACTATATAAAAACTGTCAGACTTGTCAGTCCAGAACAGCTTGTTCACACATGTCAGAATTGCTGACTAATTTTCAGTCATTTCGACTCACTAGTTCTTTTTTCTTCAAATGCTGCATTTAAAACCAATTAACAATCAACATTAAAAAAATTGTGCAGATTTTGTATTTTAGTTTGATTTTTTTTAAAACAGGCTTCATGAAATTGCAGAGAACCTTTAATATCTGGTTATGATCATTGTTTATGTGCATTTCTAACCAAAAAAAGTTTTCCCACGTTTTTTTGTTGTTGCTCAAAACCCTAAAATCTGTAAAAAAAAAAAAAAAAAAAAAAAAAAAATTGATTAGGTTTATACACATGGTGAAATATAGCTTAAATCTTTCATAAAATACATGTTTTCTCAGTTTTGCATATTTATGAAACTATAAAATTTTACTTTACTTCAGTGCAAGTAAAATGTGCACTGTGTGGCCAACCCCCTCTTAAAACTTAACAAATTAATATTAAATTTATACAAATTTAAAAGTTTTTATCTCCACATTTTCTTTGCTACAGATATGATGAATGCATGACTGCTGGAAATAAATACATAAATGTTTATTTCTAGTTATCAAGAATGCTCACTTTTGTGTTATTTTCTGCTAAGATGTGTGTGTGTGTGTGTGTATATATATATATATATATATATATATATATATATATATATATATGTATGTATGTATGTATGTATGTATGTATATATATATATATATATATATATATGTATGTATGTATGTATGTATGTATGTATGTATATATATATATATATATATATATATATATGCTTTACCTACACCACCCAGTTTTTGATGTTGTCGGTACTTTGATATACGTAAACTGGTAGAGCTGCTGCCTCTCAGCGAGCAGGTCCTTGGTTCAAACCCCGGTCCAGGGGCCTTTCTGGGTGGAGTTTGCATGTTCTCTCCGTGCATGGGTGGGTTTTCGCCGGGTACTCTGGTTTCCTCCGACAGACCAAAAACATGCATGTTAGGTTGATTGGTAACTCTAAATTGTCCCTAGGTGTGAGTGAGAGAGTGAATGATTGTGTCTCTATGTGGCCGTGATGGACTTGCGACCCGTCCAGGGTGTACCCCGTCCCTCGCACAGTGATTGCTAGACATGGGCACCGGCGACCCCCGTGACCCAAAATGGAAGAAGTGGGTAAAGATAATGGATGGATGGATGATATACAGTGAGGAAAATAAGTATTTGAACACCCTGTGACTTTGCAAGTTCTCCCACTTAGAAATCATGGAGGAGTCTGAAATGTTCATCTTAGGTGCATGTCCACTGTGAGAGACATAATCTTAAAAAAAAAAAAAAAATCCATAAATCACAATATGATTTTTTAATAATTTATTTGTGTGTTACTGCTACAAATAAGTATTTGAACACGTGTGAAAATCAATATTAATATTTGGTACAGTAGTGTTTGTTTGCAGTTACAGAGGTCAAAGGTTTCCTGTAGTTTTTCACCAGGTTACACACTGCAGCAGAGATTTTGGACCATTCTTCCACACAGATCTTCTCTAGATCAGCCAGGTTTCTGGGATGTCGCTGAGAAACACGGAATTTGAGCTCCCTCCAAAGATTTTCTATAAGGTTTAGGTCTGGAGACTGGCTAGGCTACTCCAGAACCTTGATATGCTTCTTACGGAGCCACTCCTTGGTTCTCCTGGCTGTGTGCTTTGGGTCATTGTCATGTTGGAAGAACCAGCCACGACCCATCTTCAATGCTCTCACTGAGGGAAGGAGGTTGTTCCCCAACATCTCACAATACATGGCCCCAGTCATCCTCTCCTTAATACAGTGCAGTCGTCCTGTCCCATGTGCAGAAAAACACTCCAAAGCATGATGCTTCCACCCCCATTCTTTGTCCCCCAAACACGGTGAGTGGAATTAAGACCAAAAAGTTCTATTCTGGTCTCATCTGACTTCATAACTTTCTCCCATGACTCCTCTGGATCATCCAAATGGTCACGGGCAAACTTAAGACGGACCTGGGCGTGTGCCGATTTAAACAAGGGAACCTTCCGTGCCATGCATGATTTTAAACTATGACGTCTTAGTGTATTACCCACATTAACCATGGAAACAGTGGTGCCAGCTCTCTTCAGGTCACTGACCAGCTCCTCTCGTGTAGTTCTGGGCTGATTCCTCACCTTTCTTAGGATCATTGAAACGCCACGAGGTGAGATCTTGCATGGAGCCCCAGTCCGAGGGAGATTGACAATCACGTTTAGCTTCTTCCATTTTCTAATAATTGCTCCAACAGTTGATGTTTTTTCACCAAGCTGTTTGGCAATTGCCCCGTAACCCTTTCCAGCCTCGTGGAGGTCTACAATTTTGTCTCTGGTGTCTTTGGACAGCTCTTTGGTCTCAGCCATGTTAGTAGTTGGAGTCTTACTGATTGTGTGGGGTGAACAGGTGTCTTTATGCAGCTAACGACCTCAAACAGGCGTTTCTAATTTAGAATAATAAGTGGAGTGGAGGTGGACGTTATAGAGGAGGACTAACAGGTCTTTGAGGGCCAGAACTGTTGCTGATTGGCAGGTGTTCAAATACTTATTTGCAGCAGTAACACACAAATAAATTATTAAAAAATCATACATTGTGATTTCTGTATTTTTTTTTTTTTTAGATTATGTCTCTCACAGTGGACATGCACCTAAGATGAAAATTTCAGACCCCTCCATGATTTCTTAGTGTGAGAACTTGCAAAGTCGCAGAGTGTTCAAATACTTATTTTCCTCACTGTATGTATATATATTATGTATATGGACCACTGTGTTTTTTGAGGTCCAAGTTCAATGCAGCCGTCTACCAGGAAGTTTTAGAGCACTTCATGCTTCCTGCTGCTGACCAACTTTATGGAGATGCAGATTTCATTTTCCAACAGGACTTGGCACCTGCACACAGTGCCAAAGTTACTAGTACTTGGTTTAAGGACCATGGTATCCCTGTTTTTAATTGGCCAGCAAACTCGCCTGACTATTGTGAAGAGGAAGATGCGATACGCCAGACCCAACAATTCAGAAGAGCTGAAGGCCACTATCAAAGCAACCTTGGCTCTCACAACACCTGAGCAGTGCCACAGACAAATTCGACCCCACGCCACATTGCTGCAGTAATCCAGGCAAAAGGAGCCCCAACTAAGTATAGAGTGCTGTACATGCTCATACTTTTCAGTTGGCCAACATTTCTAAAAATCCTTTTTTTTATTGGTCTGACGTAATATTCTAACTTTATGAGATATTGAATTTGAGGTTTTCATTAGTTGTCAATTATAATCAACATTAAAAGAAAAACATTTGAAATATATCAGCCTGTGTGTAATGAACGAATATAATAAATGTTTCACTTTTCGAATGGAATTACTGAAATAAATAAACTTTTTCATGATATTCTAATTTTATGACCATCACTGTATTATCTGCACAATCACGACAGTTTATTGGCCTACTCACTTCACAGAAAGCACAATGGCTCTTAC